CTCGTGATCCTTCTAGATATAGTGTAGTCTTGTATATATAAGACCGGCCACGAAGCGACGGGGAGGGAATGAGTAATTGAATGTATGCGGACAGAATATTGTTGGCCACGTGAGACGTGAGTTATAGCGTTTGTTATAGAGTGACTGTTGAAATTAAGTGTATCGTAAAGTTGTATTCGGAAAGAATAAACCAGGTTTATTTAAGAAAGGACTTGCGTCGCTAAAGTTTCGTCGGAACTAATTTACGGAAAATTAACTAACGAACGGAGACGTAACAATAGACATATATATATATATATATAACAACAGAAAGATGTCCTAAAACATTATATGAGCAAAAGTCTGATAAGGCTTAAGAGTCCATTAATTTATACAATTGTTGTCCCATCGGTGGGACAGCGGTAAGTTTATGGACTTAAAACGCTAAAAATCCGGGTTTCGATTCCCCGCGGCGAACACATCAGATAGCCTATTATAGCTTTTCTCTAAAAGAACGAAAGAAACAAATAAATATTATTGTTGTTTGATATAACTAAAGCCTATTGCAGCTCAGAAAGTGTTAGGCTTAAGTTTTACTTTTAGTTAGGGTTGGGCTTAAATATACTAAATTAATCTCAACTAAAACTTAAACCTAACACTTTTTGAGCCTATAAGATACATTAAACCACACCCCAACTAAAACGAAAACTTAAACCTAACACTTTCTGAGCCTATAAGATACATTAAACCAAACTCCAACTAAAACGAAAACTTAAATCTAACACTTTCTGAGCGTGTAAAATACATTAAACCAAACTCCAACTAAAACTTAAGCCTAACACTTTCTGAGCCTTTAAAATACATTAAAGCAAACTCCAACTAAAACTAGAACTTAAGCCTAACACTTTCTGAGCCTATAAAAAATACATTAAACTAATAATAGGCATGTCCGTCTGGTAGTGATAAAGACTACAAATAAAAGTATTTCATTTCAACGTCACGAGTGTGTCTCAAATTTGAATTATCAAACCTTCAAATATTTATACCCACGACGTTACATTTCGTTACTGGCTTTTCCGTTGTTCACCAATAACGAGAACAAAAACAAATATTAAGCATTCAAATATTTGTCTTCATCATATCACAGTTTCGGTGTTAATCAATAGTCTTCTCTGCACGTGATGTCTCGTAACTTAAACTCTGTGCTCGTGGACGTTTCCTCAACATGACCTATTATCCTCACCTTTACTCTGTGTTTTTTGTTGATACATGTACTAGCTAAAAGATTATTAATTGATTAGACTAATTAAAATAATTTATATAGTAATGTCTACAAATATATATCAATGTGAGAAACCACTTTATTTTCCAGTGACTCTACAGAAAATTAATATTTTTTTTCTCTTTGTTGATGTTTAGCAAATGGCTCCTACTCCAACGTCCTTAAAGAAATCCTTCTGCCTGTGATTAGCAACGACAGGTGTCAGGAGCTTCTCAGGAAGACACGGTTAGGCAAGTTCTACCAGTTGTATGATAGTTTTATTTGCGCTGGTGGAGAAAAGGACAAGGATTCCTGCAAGGTGAGTATCGTAGTAATTGTAGTAACGTCATCGAAATTCAATTGATACTGGGTACCGTAGTAACTCCAAAGAAATTCGACTTATAATGGGTATCTTATTAAATGTAGTAACGCCAGGAAATTTCAAGTGATAGTAAGTATCATAGTAAGTGTAGTAACGCCAGGAAATTTCAAGTGATAGTAGGTATCTTAGTAAATGTAGTAACGCCAGGAAATTTCAAGTGATAGTAAGTATCATAGTAAGTGTAGTAACGTCAGGAAATTTCAAGTGATAGTAGGTGTCTTAGTAAATGTAGTAACGCCAGGAAATTTCAGGTGATAGTAGGTATCTTAGTAAATGTAGTAACGCCAGGAAATTTCAAGTGATAGTAAGTATCTTAGTAAG